ATCTGCTGCAGTATAAAGGGACACTAACAATACTATTCAGCATAATAAAAAGTATAACAGAGCATCAAGCTAAAAACCCACACTTTCAGCAGAAGAACAAAAACATGGTATAGACAAAAATGACAAGACTTCAGTAAACCAAAACATTCTTCAACTTAAAATAAAACAACTAAAAATCCCTGAAAAGAACAAACCCCAGATTCTAACACAACAGAGCAACACTAAAAAAATTAAACCATTCTTCACCAACAAAGCTAATGAAAATAAGGAAACCAAGGGAAAAAGGAGAAACCTCCTTGGCACATGGAAATGTAGTGGCAGAGCAGAACACCAGGGCCACAATGGGCTGCTTGGGATCTTGTAGCCGAGTACATCTTAAACCCTAAATTTTGTTTTATGAGAAAAGGAAAAGCCAATGGTTTTGAACTTGGAAAAACAAGGTTTAAGGGAAATAAAATAAAGTGATTTATGGGTGTATAAAGATTAAAGACTTCAAACAGATGTACAGAGAGGAAGAAAGAGAAAATCTTTTAAAAATATGCACGAGTCCCAATGAAAGCGAAACAAAGTAGTTTTGAAGGGGTGAGGTGACATAAATTTTAGTATATTAATTATTGCTGCAATATTATATCCGAGGTCACTCGCTGTTTTGTTTTGAAAACAAAATGAAACCGCCTCTGGCCGCTGAGCCTATCCGGATGCCTTCTTGTTTCTGCCGCTGCTTTTTTTTTTTTAACTCGAAATTTAATCATTTTTATGGTTTACCCGGGGGATTTTTAGTTTTAGCATAATACGAAAAAAAATTAGGGTAAAGTATATTTATATTTTCAATTATTAAAAATTATAAAATGATTTTTTAATTATAGAGTATTTTTATGTTAAATTTATCGGTTATTAAAAGTTATAAAATATTCATTTGGTTATTCATTATAATTTAAACTCGTCTTTTTCTATTAAAAATTGACGACAGTCTAAACTGAACGTTAATATATTGACTAAGATATAATAAAATTTAATCTCATAATGATATGATTCTAACCAGCCCCTTCATTTCACATATACTTCTCATACCTTGGACGTTTGCCATGAATGGTTATAAGGGGATTTCTTAATTTTTTACTTTATTTTATATACTTTATGCATTTTATTTGTTCATGATATTGCATTCATATCTTGTTATACACTTAGAATATCATGTCATCCATATCATTCACATATATGTCATGATTGCACAGCATTTCTTAGGATACTATTATTATATGTTTTCATTCATCATTTATGAATGCCATATTATATGTTAGTCATGCATATATCTTATAGTCCACATGATTATGTTAAGCATAGGTTGACTTTATTATATGTTTAGTAAGCATCCATTACTTTAGGTTATACATATCATATGATTGCATTTCATACTTAAGAATGCATTATAAGTTTCTTATCTTTTATAATTAGCTAATCTTGTGTGCTTTGTGTATAGGTATATTCAGCCATGAGGAGGGGAGAATTAAGCAACAAGATGAAACTTAGAGCTAGTGGAATCAATCTAGGAAAACTCTATAGAATCTCACAATCAAAGTTAGGAAAAGTTGTCAGTTGTACTTGATCAGCTCATAGCTGGATTGAGTTGAAGATTTGAGCTAGTTAGATTACTCAAATCAGTTGAGGAGTTGAGTGGACACAATCCTCCATCAAAGGACATGAATTCTACACAAAGTCACTTTTTCACAATTTGTACTTTTTCGCGAATAGGTATTTTTCAGGACGTGCCTTTTCACAAGGAGCTGCCAAACACTTCATCATGACTCTATGCACTTATGGTCAGCTCACCTTTAGCTCATTCATCCTACATCCTACCTTTTCATGAAGGGTTACCTCCAAGCATTATGACCTTTCATCAATGTGATTGTTCGTGAAAAGTCTCCACTTCAAGAGGTGCAAATTTGGTGAAGAATTTTAAATTGTCTTTGACGATTATAAAGTAATATAACCATGCATTTATTAATGGAATAAATAAAATTAATTTTTTAAATTGTCTTAAGCGATTATAAAATAATATTTTTTTCATAATTTTTCGTAATCTATTGGTAATTGTAGACATAAAGTAAATAAAACTGCTCAAATTTATGTTCTTTAAAAGAATAATATTCTTTTTTTACTACTGAAACCGATTTTTTAAAAATGAAGTTAAAATTTCTTATGATTAATTAATTTGGTGGTTCCCCATATTCTAAGGACCCGTTTAGTTCTAGAAAATATTTTCTATGTTCTATTTTTTGTTTTTTTAGAAAATGGTTTTATTTTTATTTTGAAAATTAAAAAACATATTTAGTTAATATAAATGAAAACTTGAATTCAAAACTAAAATAATAAAAACATATTTGATATCTAATTTTTTAAAATAAAAATAATAGTTATTAAATAATTAAATTTTATCATATAAATCATTACATAAATTTAGCACATGAGTTATACAAATATAAAATAGTAAAGTTGATAAGAAATTACATAATATAACATTTATTTTAGTTTATAATAAGAATATAATGTTAATGAATATTAGACATTAATTAAATTTAAAAAATACACAAAATATTGTTATAAATAATAGCACACAACAGTGTCATTAACATAACAAATATATGTTTAGTGGTAAATGAGATCCTCAAACTTTTGAAAAAAATAATTATTGTAGTTCCTGAATTTTTTTTACATCAAATATGGTCGTTAAACTTAGAAAAAAAATTAATCTAAGCCTTTGAACTACGGAATCAAACATTGACTATCACGACTCTTACATGACAGTTCAAACTTACATGACAATCTACAATATTGTTGTGACGGTTCAGGATATTTTATAAAATATGTGATAGACAGACTTAATTGATAATTTTATAAAATTTGAGGACTTACTATTTTTTTAAAAAAATTATTTAAATTAAAAATATAAAATATAAACAATTATAAGATATTCAATAAATTAAATATAAAAATATTACGAAATTAAATTATTAAAAAATCATTTAAGGATTACATTGAGTGTAAAAAATTAATATTATAATACTTTAAACATGTGTAAGTTAAGTTAAAAATCTAGATATAATGTTTACTTATTTTTTGAATTTCTAAAACAATTTTAACAAAAATACTGAAAATATTTTTTTTTATGTTTTCACTCATTTTTCTTTTCATTTTCCATAAATCATTTTCTAATTTTACAACCAAACACATTTTCTTGAATGTTTTCTATTTTCTATGAAAATGAAAACGAAAATAACCTATGTTTTCTAAAACCAAATCAACCCTAAATCTTTCTATTAAGAATGAGAGAATTCGATTACACTATAAAAAATTTACTAAACATGTCATACATAAATACAATAAATTACACCCAAATTCGATAACTTTCCTAACAGAGTCCAAATATATAATCCTTTTTAATTGTTACTACATTTAAGCCTCCTTATGAGAAGAATAGGTCAATATTCTACCCTCTGAAAAATAAAAGGCAAATATTTGTTTTTCTTTTCAGATTGATTTTAATTACAAATTTAAAATTATTTGTGTTTGGTTCTTTACATCTTCTCAATTTTAATCCTTTTATCGTTGAGGGTTGGCAATTAAAAAAATACTTTTAAAAAATAAAAAGTAATTCAGGTGTCTTCTTCTTCAATATAGATTACCAGCTTTACCCAGCTCTACGGAGTTGACTCCCTAGACCCTGGTGCCCCTACACAAAAAAAAAAAAAAAAAAAAAACAAATGGATTTCAGCTTTCCTCGACTCCATTTCAACACCACCCATATCACGAGTAAACAAATCACAATGATAACATAGCCTTCTATCAGCTTTCTGAAAAAAGAGAGAAAATTATTTTCAGTGAACTCATTGCAAGCTGAACGGAGAGCTCGAGAATTTCTCCATGACTTGCTACAACAGGAAAAGTGCTTGAATATGTAGCTAAGTGTCCTAGGGATCCAACTGCCACTCTTTGTTTAGCCCAAGTCAACCTCTCTTTCAGAAGCTCAACTAAGGGAGGAATTATACCATCATGCACAGCAATTCTTGCAAACTCTTCCATGTTTATGATGTATGATCCAATAATATGTGTGGCGCGCGTAATAAGGAGTATATGTATCCAACGTTAAAATAAATGATTTGTCAATTTTTTCATCTTTGCAATTGTTGAATCATGGGTTTATCAACACATCACCATCCCGTCGCAGTCCCCACAAGCAGCCTTCATTGCTCCATGTTTTCTCCTGGTATTTTTTAAGCCTGACTTGTAAACAATTCGGTTATTAATTAATTAATTAATTAAATCCTCACTTCACCTTTTCATTTGGGTAACTATTTTTATGATTGATTGGTCTTGTTCATTTGAGATACAAGTTTAAGAAAAAGAAAAAGACACAAACGTGTATTTTCTAATTATCATGTAACACTTCTATTAAGGAAAATCAATAATCAAAGTCAATCATACCGAAAATAAAAGGGACTATTAATATTATTTACCCAAAATAAAATGGCATTGTTTTTAATGCAAAAAGGGGATTGAATACCCAGTTTTGGCTTTGTTTTGCTTTCTCAGTTTGAACATTGAATCCATATTGCAAAGCAAACCAGGACAAAAAAAGGAAAGGAGGTATGAGAACTTACGTAGCCAAAACCATTGACAGATCCACAAATATTTTTAAATGTGAGCATATATATGTATTAACAACAGAAATTTTGTGAAGACAAATAAAATTTCAAGATAGACACTATCAGTAAAATGGATAACTAACATAAAGAAATTCGGATTTTAATGCTCACCCTAAACAGCACTTGTATCCGCCACTGATGATCAGAACATAGAAACATATATGAACTGACCTTCGGGCCGAATGTTTTTCAATCAATGATTATTTTCAATGTGGAAAAAAGATAAAGGAAGAAACAGGTAAAGCTCAAAACGAGTAAAAGACTCTATTTGCTTTAATCGTTCAAAATAAAACCATCTTCTACTAAATCATAAATAGTACACACTTACAGGATGGAAATATAAAACCGGTCCGTTCATCCGATCAACACCACGATGCAGTCAAAGACACCATGCATTTTGTCCAAGTCAACGAAATCTTCACTTATGCAAACATGGATGATATGCTTTAAGTGATCGCCAAAGCATATAAACACGAGTGCACGGTAACCTTTTTTAGTATCGGAATAAACACAGAAAGCAAAAGAATGAACAGGAATCATGCAAAGAAAAAGAAAGGTAAGCCTTCATTTTGCCTCCTTTTCCGGAGAGATAAAAGCTTAACTCATGATTGTAACTCAATAGGCTTCACCGGCCAGATTACTCGTTGGAAGTCTCTGGCGCTTCTCAACATAAGCTGATGGAAACCACCCGGCTTTGCCCTTGCATTCTCCTTCTGACCATCCAGTTGGACTTACCTGTAAAGTATTTTAAGAATCTTAACAAACTAGAAATCCAACCCGACAACAAAATAAACGAATGCTAAGACGTATGTGGTTCTATTAGTCGTAGTAGTAGTATTTCTGTAGGCATTAAATCAGAGGCTTATGCCAGGGTCAATCAAATGCATGACTGAAAATTACAAGACCTAGAAAATCCAGTAAGGTATCTCTTTTTTTTTTACAAGACAGTAAGGTATCTCTTGGCCAATATTTCATGTATATAGCGGATTAGTTGCAGGCTATGAATCACAAGTGAAGAGGTATCCAGCATCATTCTTCCGTTTTGTAAGATTGAAAACTTCAGCTTAGACTTGTATCTACGACTACAACATAAGTCACACCAGACTATTGAGCTAAATTCGACCTATATGCATAGCCGAAGGAAAATAAATTACCTTTCGCACAACAACAAAGTCGCCTACCGACAAGCTCAGTTCCTTCTCAGATGAAGCAAAAAAAGGATGCATTGCCTGTGACAAGAAACTCAAAATATTAGTGGTTTACATTTCTAAAGGGGTTCAATATGTCAGTGGAGCCTCTCAAGTTAAGGCAATTACTTGGTTCATTCTAACTTTATAAAGAATGTATAAAAAATATTAAGGTGCCATCTCCGACCATTTCATGCTTTTATGAAATACAAGACCAAGATTGGTAAAACTTACTTCAGCCAAATAATACATTGTTTTATCTGTGCCATTCTCAGGAACAATCACAGGTGGAGCAGATTCTTTGCGCTGTTTCTCTGAGACCATCTATCAAGTTCAAAAAAAAGATATAAGTTTACATAATTCGAAAATAAAAAGGTTCTTTACCAGAAACAAGAAATCCAGGAAATAACCTCAGCTTCAATCTCATTAAGAATAGCAGCGACTCGTAAATGATAAGTCTTTTCCCCTTCAACCTACAAATGCATAGATGTAAATCTTGAATATCGTATATGAAATTAAGGCATGCTTCCATATGGAGACAGTATATACAGAAATAGTGTGCACGTATACCATAGCTACAAGCCTTTGTAAAGTCAGTCTTTGCTGCTGTGCTTCAACGGCAGCCAATGCAGAAGAAGCTTCTTTACCTAGAACTGCCATATTTGCTTTAAGTTCCTGCATCTTTGCTTCAGCAGCATGCAACTTCGCAACGTTTTCTGGAATTGGAGCCTCTCTTATCCGTGCTTGTCTTCTGGAAATCTCTACTGCCTGTTTACAAATCATATTTAGTATCAGTCATGCATTTTTTAAAGCAATCCTAAGAATTGGGAATTGAAACTGATGTTTAATATACGGAAAGTTACCGCACGGATACTTACCATGGCCTCTGCTTCCTGCCTCATTCGACTATAGCGTTGAGCAAGATGACGAGCATCTTCCAAAGGAGCACCAGCGGCCATTGCTCTCAAGGGATCCAAGACCTTTTTTTTATGAAACAGACGGGTCATGTTTCTAATGGCACTTGTTATTCTCAATCAAAAGTAACTAAAGCATGCAATAGGAAAATTTTCTTCGGATTATGGACATACAGATTCTTTGAATAAATAAAAGTACATAGTCACATTATATTTAAAAAGGAGTCCAATGAAAGCATCATACTCACTTTGGATTGAATGTGTTTACAAGTACTATAACTAAAACATATTTTATAATATGATAAAAAAAATTCAAAACACATAACATCAAATAAATGTTAACCTGTTGAGATAACAGCTTAATCAAATCATCTTGCTCCTTCTCTACATGTTTACGGCCATCACCATAAATGGCTGCAGCTTTGGCAAGAATATTTTCATTGATGTTTTCACTGTTTTCGGTTCCATATCGGCAGCATTCTTCAGAGAACTTGGTTCCTGGTTATCATAAAGATTAAGAACCATAAGTACAAAGTTTTATCTTCAAAATATATGTTATTTACTTTGATTGCACATATTTCATGATAGGAAAATAAAATTAAAAAGGTACTGATCAATGCTTCACCTGTTTCCATATACTTATACCCAATGGCTGTAAAAGCCTCTGCAGCTTTAATAACATCTTTTTGGAAATCCTGAAAGGAAGATGGGTGAATTCATTAAGCAAAGACTCGATGGATATATGAAACCATATAGATATAAAAAAACTGAACATTCGGTCTTTTTCAACAAGATCACGGATAATAAAGGAATATGACATGAGTTTCGAATTGCATTTTGCAAACATGCGAAGGAAATGCGCCTTACCCTTGCTGAACGTGTGAACTTGTACAATTTGTCCAGTTGTAGATGTCTTTGCATCTCAATCTCATCAATAACTACAACATCTGAGCTTTCATAACCAGTTCCACTAAATTGCTTTATTACAGCCTGCAAAACAAAATCTTTCTAACTTAACAGGAGAGTATATATATATACGTTTAAAGCAACACGGAATAACATAAACATACAAGAATTACAAGTAACTTATCAGGACTTAATTCAATCAAAATTTAGCTTTCGGGTAAAGGATGAAGCTTTGCAATAACAAAAGGCACAATGCCAAAATTTGTCCCAACATTTACTAAAGTGATCATTTTGGTCCCATTTTTTTGGATCATTTTGCCTCCAATGTTTCATTTTAGGGCAAAAGTACCCTAGCATTAGACTGAATAGTTACTTTGACCCTTATTATTTTTTCTAGAGCATTTTAACCCAATGTTTCATTTTAGAGTAAAAAGATCAGTATTTTAGAGCTTTAACAGTTTGTTAATTAAGGTTTTCCACCCACAGAGGAATTTTTTTACTCCAAAATGAAACATTAGAGCTAAAATACTCCGAAAGAATAATATGAACCGAAATGACATTTTTGGTAAATGTTGGAGGGCTAATTTTGATATTATGCTTTAACAAAAACCTCTAGAATTAACTTCACAATTCAATAGTTAATTCTTGAAACATATAAATTAGACCCCCAAAAGTTCGAGAAGCCAAGTAATAAAAATATTCAAGTATGTGATAAAAGAGTAAACAATGTTCTTTGCTTTCATTGACCCAGATTTTCTCCATCATCCTAAAAACCAAATGAAAAGAATCAAATTCTCAAAAAAACCCATAAAAATAAATCAAAAGAGAGTGAAGGGTAGTGATTAAATTGCCTGTTGTTGCTTGGCAACTTGATCTCTGAGCTTGCTGGCTTGCCTTCTAAAAGCATCCATTGCTGCTGCTTCTAGTTTCTTTCAACACAACGAAATGGATTTTTGCAAGAAAAATAAGAACTGAAGGCTTCTAGTTTCTACAAATCTGGATTTTATTGTATTGATGGATCGACTTATCAGATCTGGCAGCTGGCTGTGTTTGAGAGACAATTTCGCTGTCCTGAATTATGTTCCTTCGGATTTTGGACCTTTGGATCGGTTGATGCAACTATTAATGGGCTTCATCTTGGATGGCTATGAGCCATATCATATTTATTTAAGGGTTCAATTCACACACAAAATAATTTGGAACTTCATGGATTATTTTTATATGGATCATATGTATATTGTTTGTTTATAAAGTTAAGTGAATGAATATAAACAAAATTTTCATTTATATATATGTTCATTTTTTTTAATTTTATTTGTGTTTATTTTAAAATTTTATTTTATACATCTTATTTAAAATTTGGGTAAGGTACATAAATAATTCATCGACTATAGAGTGTTACTTTGTTCAGTCTCTCAACTATTAAAAGTCATAAAATGGTCTCTAACTATAAGGCATTACTTTGTTGAGTCATCCAACTATTAAAAGTTATAAAATGATTACTCGACTACTCATATGTTTCAAACACGTCTTTTTTAAGAAAAAAAATTTACGATTGTTTGAGTTGAACGTTAACATACTAATTAGGATATGATAAAACCTAATCTCATAATCATTTGATTTTTATTTTGTGGATCAACGAGTTCGTTTACATTATGTCGTCGAGCTAGTGCTTGAAACATCATACCATCGAGCCAGTGATTTGAAAGCAACATTTGTGTCAGTGTGCATCATTAAAATATGATTTTATCATATCTCAATCAACAAGATAACGTCATGCTCATATGACTATCGATCTTTTTTGACAAAAAAGGATGAGTTCGAACATATAAATAGTCGGATGATCATGTTGTAACTTTTAATAATCATGAGACTCAATAAAAACAATATCTTATAATTAAGGATCATTTTATAACTTTCAATAATCAAACAACTCATCAAAGTAGTGTCTTCATTTATGTACTTTACCTTAAACAAGTTTTTGTAGTTAATATAAATGCACTCGCTCTAAAATATATTTATAAATTCATCACTATTTGATGGATAACGTGACATATCTCCTTTATAGGAAGATATATAAAGAAACTGAATTTAGTTAGGAGCAAAAGAAGACAAGCTTTCTTCCTTGGAAAGAAAGCTATCTGAATTGTCTAGTTTAGGGATTAAGTTATTCGATTTTTTTACTTAGAGAATACGTAATATTCTATTTGATTAGGCCCATATTTCGTCTAACGGTTTTAATCACATATCCACATCAATTCATAGATATATCAAATCAGTTTATGATTCAAAAATTCATGACCTTACAAAATTCAACTTATTCAAGTACCCTTTCCTAACATGTTAACATTGCGAACTCCATAAATTTTACTTGACAAGAACAAGTCTTTGTTGTAATTTTTTTTGTAAGTTATATGATTTATAAAAAAATATACATAAATTTAAATCAGATATCTTATAACCCAATCAGATATCTTCACAAGTTAAGACACATATTATTATTTTAATATCCGTAGAACCAGATACATCACCAAATACTCAAAAATATAAAAAATAATTATTCTCCACAATATGTTTTACCCATACCTATCAACTAAACTAATACAACTTCACCTTCTAATTGTAATCGAGAAATAATTATTCTCCACAAATATGTTTTACCCATACCTTAAAAATCAATCACAAGGGGGTAAATAATTCACCATTCTCACATCTAATTGATTTGACAAATAATTTTATATTAATAGAATAAATTTATAAAATTTTAGATGGATAAAAATAAAATTTATCAATAAAATATAAGAAAATTTAAAATCTTATGGCATAGCGTAAATAACATTTTGTTCCAAATGCAGTGTTGAATGTTCACTCTTAAAAGAGTCACAGTCGTATCTTAATATCCATGACTAATGTATTTCAGCATTAGTCGATTAAGCTTATACCCATAAATGAAAGCGACTTAATCTTTTGTAAACAACTATTACATATAATTGTAACGGTGTCATCTTCAACGTTTTGTGTTCTAAGAGAAAATTTAAAAATAAACACATATAGAATGAAAGTATAATCCATACTTTAAATAAATAATTTAATATTACATTAATAAATTGTAAAAAATAATTAAATACAACTAAGAGAGAATAAATATAAAAAAAAATTGAATGTGTATATGATATGGAACTTGATTTTGAATGATAATTGAAAAAAGAATGATGTATTATTTTATTGTTAGATTGAGATTGGAGATTACTAAAAGTTAAAGGATACTTGATAAATTGAAGAATGAAATTTGAAAAAAAGAGAAAATATGAATTAATTTAATTTAAAATTGAACGAATTAATAAGAGAGATAAAAGAAGAGGGTCAAAAATTGAAAATTTTATAGAATTAAAAAAATAAGAATCTCAATTAAAAATATAGGAATTAGAAAGATTTAATTATAAATATAAAAAAAAATTAATTATAAATATAAAAAATTGGAGGTTTTAAGCTACTAAGTGTCCTCCCTAAGAATCGACCTAAATGGTAGGTAAAAGATCATAAAATAATAATAATTATTATATAAATTTACATAAAATCAAATACAAATTAGAGAGAACTAAAAATAATTTTATTATAATTGATAAAAAATTATTAAAGTACTATTTAAAAATATATCAAATTTTAAAATTCTAAATAAAAAATTTGGAGCCCGCAGCCCCTCTCACCTATTACGCTTTATCACTTGGTTTGGTACGATAGTGCCTACTTTAATTTTTTTTTTGGGGGTAAGCTACCTTTTTAGTTATCAAATTATTATTTTAGTTATGTTTTAATCGTTTAATTATTTATTTTTTAAAATTATCATTGATGTTATATTTTGATTTTATTTTAATTATATGTTATTAAAACATGTTATCATTACCGTTAACTTTTTAACGATAAAATGACCAAAATAAAATTAAAATGAAATTAAGATGATAATTGATTAACTAAATACATAATCTACCCTATTTTTTATTATCTTGTACATAAAGGTATAAAAGTTATCAATTTGATATGAATTCCCCAAATCACGTGAGGTTTAGAGCGTAAACGTGGAATCAACAGGGGCACGAAAATGAATATTCAAATTATTCTCAACAGGTATTCACTATTCGGCATTCAGATACTGTTGGAAAAAAAACCCCTCACTATTCCATGCATTCACTTCTCTTTTATTCTTCCAAATGACGTTTCTTGGAAGATGAACTTGGTAAATAGTTCCGTAAAACACCTTTTAGGTCCTCTAGGTTTTAAAATTGCACAAACCGCTCCATCTCAGAAAAGAAGAGTTATTTAGAAGGACCACAATTTAGTTCATGTGAACTTTAAAAGTGAGCAACTAAGGATAATTAATAAGAGCTTTAATGTTTTTTGTGTTAACTATGTATAATTCTAATTGAAATGATAATAAATTTAGTTCATGTAAACATTAAGTTAATTTATTACATAATTATACATTATGTAGATGTTAACAACTAAATTTGTAAAAAAAAAGAATAATTAATTATGATAAAAGTGACATAATATGTAAATATAAATATAAATATTTATTATTATGTCAATCAAAATTATATGACTTCATCTGAAAACACTAATTTTGTTATTAATAGTTTTTAATTACCCACTTTCAAAACCAACAAGACTTCATTTTCTCTCTTTTTGAAATGGACCAATTTATCTAATCTTGAAATTGAGAAAAAACTAAAATATCATTTCCCTATATACTAGAAAATGGCAGAGGTTTTTAAACGGAATCGTTTTGGTCTTATTTGTTGTCACGTGAATGACGCACGTGGTACCAATCAACAAATTCGGTTTAGTTGGGATGTGTCTTATTTTAATCAAATACCAAATTAATTTTTTTTTAAAAAAATCATATTATCCTCCAAAACAATCGCGATTAAAAATGGTAAAAAGGTTGAGATAATGCGTTGGGTGCACCCACCGAATTATTTATTAAGATAGGTCATTTGCTACAGTAAATGGTGAAGACGATGTGTAATCGTGGCGATCTGTTGAAGACTCCAAGATTTCTATGCGTCTTCAAACTAAAACCAGACAGTGAAGACGCCGTTCAATCTGTGCGTCTTAAAGGTGAGGACGCCAGGATTATCGTGCGTCTTCAACGCATTTCCCGTGCCCCTGCAAAGTTGTTGGCCTATGGGAAAAAAATAAGCACGGTTGAAAAGAAGCCTTTTGCCCTGCATCTCCCATTTCCTTTACGCTGCAACTCCCATGCCCTATGCCTTACACCTCCCATTCATGCTATATGTGTATGAAATGAAATTTATTGTGTTATACGTGTGAAGTCAGATTTGTATAAAAAATTAATTTTAGATGTATATAGACGAGTTGGGAGAAGGTTGGAGTATTCTATGATTGAGCAGAAAAATTGTGAAGAAAGGGCAAGCAATCAATTGGAAGAAGGAACATTCAATGGTACATTTGAGAAAAATTTTAATGAATTTTTCTTTCATTTTCTTAAGTAAGTATTTGAATAATTTATAGAAATTTTTATATTTGGCCTCGTATTGTTCTGTTAAATGATATTGATGTGTTAATTTGTAGATTAAAGAGTGGGTAAACAGTTGTTTCAAGATTTTTTTTGTTAAATCAAGTCGAGGGAAGAAGTTCTCAAATAAGTAAGAATAGATCACTTGTTCAGTATTACTATTTATTATTATGTGTATATCACTTTTGTAATATATTTAGTTTTTATTTTACTTATGAATCATTACTATAAATTTTTAATAGTATTGATGTAGTAATTAGATTAAAAATGTTAAAACAGTTAGATTATTTTGTCCTATTAATTATCGAAAATACGCGAGAAAAATATAATTATTATTTATATAAAAGCAAAATATTGTTAGAATATTTTATGTTTTTTGTTATAAATATATATTTTTCATATAGAGAGAAAGATGAGCAACAAATTCTTCGTGATTGTCCATTACAATGGACATATTATAGAGAATGAGGTCGGTGTTATTTT